GGATGGAGGCAACAGGATGAATGCACAGGATGAGTGTACAGGATGAGTGTACAGGAGTCTGCTGTGTGCTGAGATTCAGACAAATGTATTAAAACTAATTGAAGGACTATTTAGCATCTTTGAAATGCTGACAACACAACCACATTAAAACAAATACATCTTACTGGCTGATTTAGTCACCTGTTGAAAGTCTGAGCTGCACTCAACTTGCTATAAGATGATGCTCCTATCAGAGTATCACCAGAAAACAAGTAGTGTGTCTCCTCTGTAGATCCAGGATTTCAGGAAGTCTTTGCTTCTCCTAGGCAAGATGTATTAAAGGTGCTCTATGTCACAGTGTTTTCACTGTTAAATTTGATGTTAAATTTGGCAACTGTAATTTTAATCTTTGCTATGTTATTTACATCTTAACATGAGAACTGTATGTGGTGTGGAACGGGAGTCAGACAACTTTGCATTTTCCTTCTTGTATCTCCATACTTCTGATTCAGAAATCGTGCGTTTTTGTTCTGCATTTATTAATAGAAAGGTTTGTTTGGACAGAAAAAATAAGAGTGCGGAACAAATAAAAGTTATTTCAAATGAAATAACCCTCTCAAGCCTACCTATTAAAAATAGTGCTTCACAAAAACGACTGAGTCAGAACAAAATTCATGTTCTTTTCCAGTTATGCAGGTTTATTCATAATAAGTCAATTATATATCATAAATGAGGAAGCATGATAATTTGGTTTGTTTTTATCTGTTTCAGCTGTAGTTCTGCAGGAAGGGGAGGTCCAGGAGGTGGAGCAGCAGTGGAGCAGGTGACGGTGAAGCAGGAGCCTGGTACAGATGACAGCTATAGCTGTCCAGCTTCTTCTCTGAAGACAGAGCGGGGCAAAGATGCTGGAAGGAGTGCCTGCATGGTATGATATATACAGTTGTAATGTGATAAGATCATATTGCAGTACAGCACTGCAAATTCAACAGAAAGTGATATGATAACACTGTTGACAAAGCTGTATTTAGTTAGAGTAGTGTCTTTATTTTGTCAAACATTGTTATCGTTAAAACACTGCTTTGTGTGTGCTTTTCCCCTGAAGATGAGCAGTCCAGAGAACAGCCCCCATCCTGTAGTGGGAGCTGTATCTGCAGGCCAAGACGCTCTCAAGGCTCTAGGCGAGCGCATCAAAACGGAACCTCAGTCTGAGACACCTTGTTCTGGACTCAATGACTCCAGTACTGCCGCATCATCTTCTTCCACAACCACAATGACCTCCACTACCTCGTCATCCACAGAGAGCAGCAGCACCACGACAGTCGCTCCACTCACTAATGGAAACTCAAATAAAGGGGGAGAAACCAAAAGGAGTGAGGCTTCTACTGGAACCGGGAATGTTGAAGGGAAAGAGGATGACCCAAATGAAGACTGGTGTGCTGTTTGTATCAATGGCGGTGATCTGCTGTGCTGTGACCGGTGCCCCAAAGTGTTTCACATGAAATGCCATGTACCCACCATAAAAATATTTCCAAAGTAAGTGATTACAATGGAGTTTTATTTTATTTTATTGATTGGACGTCCCCTAAAAAAAGATTACAGATCTCCCAAATGCTTTAGATTAAAATCCTATTTTTACAAGGTCACTCTGTGAAACATAGATGCAATAAATCTTCAAAAGGACAATAAACTAAAAAGTAGTTGGGTGGATTTCAGGAAGTCACAGATGCAACAGAAAAAAAAAAGACATTAGTAATATAATACCCAAATAATAGTCACAGGCTGTGATACGAGCAGACAAGTTGATCTCTTTAAACCCCCAAACACACTTCCATACGATTCTGAATGTGCTGTGTGTTATTTGTGTGTCACAGGGGCGACTTTCTCTGCACGTTTTGTCGGAGTATAACCAACCCTGAAATAGAGTACTGTGATGATAGCAGGAAGGGCAAAGGAGAGCAGAGCCTGAGTGCTGAGGACCAAAGGGTCAGTAAAACAACCACAGTAATCCACATTGACGTGACTGATACAAGGCAACTAATTCTCTCTTCTTATGTCCTCAGAAATGTGAACGCCTCCTGCTGTACATCTTCTGTCATGAGCTCAGCGTGGGCTTTAGGGAACCTGTTCCTAGCTCTGTAAGTAGCACTGTCAGCTGTGCTGCACCACCATTGCTGCTGTGAAGATTCTACTTCCTTGTGTTGTTAGCAAAATTTAATTGTTCCTCATTTCGTGTGTTGTTTGACATTAACTCCTGTATTTTCTGTTTTTCTTCCTAAATTAATAAATGTCTGATTACTGTAGAACTAACAGTAGCTTGTGGTCTCAGTGGATACACTTACCCCACTTTTTTGCTTAAAAATTTTTTTTTCTTAAAATTTTTTTCTGATGTATTGAAAAATTTCTGTTCTTGTCAGGCTCTTATTACCACATATAGAACCACCTTTTATATTTTTAACTGCTTCTTCGGGAGGGATCTTCCTGTGTTCTGGTGGTTTGCAGCACATGCCAATGTGACCACAGCATTTATATGTCCCAGCCACCTGCCTTTTGCACGTCTTCCTCTTTGCTTTCGCCTCACATTTCTTACCTGTCCTTACTGTCAAGCTGCAAATACAGGCAGAAATGCTGAAAGAAAAAGTTTAACATTTTAAAAGTGAAATGGTATTTTGATTTTCATGGCCAGAGGCCATCTAAAAAACTGAGGTGGTCCTCTCATTGCTCTTTCTTGTCCTTAGAATTTTAGAAATGTAGAAGTTACGACACTAGGTCCAAAGGGTAGGATCTCCTGCGACAGATATCAAAATCCACACAAGTTTGTGTAAAGTAACGTACTTGTACCGTATTATTTCACATGTTCTTTGGCATGTATTCTGTATAAGTTACTCAAACATGCTGTGCTAATAATGGGTTTCATTTTGCTGTATGCCCATTTATATTGGACTGCACTATAGCATGGCTGCAATTTACTGCTACCACAGTTGTGGGTTATGACAGTGTTTAAATGCATCTTTGTTTCTAAATGTCTGATCTGCTGTTGGGGATTGGGGAAATCTCTAAATTCTAAAATCTTTACAATCTAAAAATGTTGTTTACGTCTCACCAAAAGAAAAATATTTGGAGTCATGTGAAATCATTTGAGATGTTATCTGACCTGCTTTTTTAGGTACCCAACTATTACAAGATAATCAAGCAGCCTATGGACCTAAAGAAGGTGAAGAAGAAGCTGCAGCTGCGGAATTCCCAGTACTACCAGTCTGTCCAGGAGTTTGTGTCCAATATGCGTCTGGTCTTCAAAAACTGTGCGAAATACAACGAGGTGAGCAGCATGAGTCTTGACACTGCTTCGGGGAATGGCATCTGCTTGTGTGTGTGCATGCAGACGTAGGTTAGACTGATATGGTTTGATATTTGAATTGCCTGCCGATTCAAAAAATTGAATTATTTGACCATTTTCATGGTCAAACAATAAAAGGCAAACCGTCATATCTGTCTAACCTGATTATGAACACTGCCTGGTATTTCGAGGGGAAATTGGGTGTTTAGGTAGTGTGTGTTCAGTTTCGTACACTAACACTGGCTGTTAAAGGATGGAGTGAGTGTCACTGTGCTCTTTTTACACTGGCTGCAAGAACACCGTGTGACTCTGTTAACACCGTCTGCGTTATAATGAAACCCCACATTTTTGCTTTTTAATGGATGGCTGTGATTACCTGTTTATTTTTAATACAGTTCACATAATGTTCATCTACATTCTCCTTAGGAGAAATAATGCATTGTTACACATGGATGTCTTTATTTTTGTTGTTTCGTGGCACTGAAATGCTGGTGGTTTATCAGGAAGTCTGGACTCGGCCTACAGTTCTGGCTAATAGTGACTGTGAACACTGAGCCTTGTAGCATGACTTCACTATATAGATGCATTGTAGTATAATGTGACTGAAATTAACAGCAAGTATGGTTCTCATCTGTGAAGGATGTTGGTCAAAACATCATGTGATTAGCTGGAATGTAATATTATGACAGGAAATAAATTTCAGCTGGACCTCATCACTCTAATGTAATAAGAGGACTCAAGTGAAAGTAATTAGTGAGCTGTTAATTAGTGAGTAATGACTGATGTGACAGTCTTGGCAGTAATAAGGGGAACAAATGTCGAATCCTAGATTTTCTGGATAGATTTAATCCCTTTATTAATTAAAACCTGAGAAATCATTCTTACTCAAATAAATTGGATTTCTTTAATAAGAATCAAGAGCCGAGGTTATCACAGAATACAGAACAGCCAACGCAGAAAATGCTCACAGAGCCTGGTGAAAATACTCTTCCTATAAGTCTGGAGTAGAGGTTTTCAAAGGCCCTACGAGGTTATGATGGAGAACTTTGGAGAGTGGCAGTACTAAAGTGTAAACTAGCAGCATCTTGGGTACCACCTGGGTCGCTGAAGCAAAATCCTCGAAGCCTTTATTTGAAGCCTTGGATTATGCTATTAGGGTTTTGGAAATACTTTCTGGTTTTCAGTGAGAGTTGCCAAATATCAGTGAGTCATTCCAGTGATTATGATAGTCTCAAAATATAAAGTTAGGTAATTCATTTATAGTTATGTTTATAGTTTTCGGCATTTTTTTCAGTCTTCGTTTGGATAGAAGTGAGTATAGCTGGGAAACGGGGAGAGTCAGGAAAGAGGAAAATGGTAAAGATGTGACCAGCTGGGGATTCACTGCTGCTTGATGGCATATGTGCCCATGTTAAATGCTGTGGTCGCTTCCAAAGATACATTTATTACAAACCAGTGGTTGAGACATCAGAGATGCGCTTCAGTTAGAGAAAGAACACCAGTTTAAAAAATGTATGGGATGCTGTGTAACAAAAAAAAAAACAAAACAAAAAAACCCCCAAATGCATTTATTTGTAAATCGCATAAACCCATGTTTCATTCACAATGGAACATAGAAAACATAAAATGTTTAAACTGAGACTTATTTTCTCATTTTCAATTTGGTGTCAGCAACAGGTCTCAAAACAGCTTGGATGGGGCCAATAAAGGTCTGGAAGAGAAAGTGGTACTAAAAATGCTGATGACATTGAAATTGACACATATGGAAAAAATCATAAGAACGTGATCCAGAAACTCTGTTGTCTCCTCAGGGCCAACGCTCATTTAAAATGGACTGAGACAAAGTGGAAATGAAAATGACAATGAAATTCGAGAACTGTTGAGCAGGCTACAGTCCTCCATGAGATAAGAATGGGACTGCTTATTCCTCTCCCATTCCTCTCCCATTCCTCTCCCCAACATCCAGCAGCAGCTCTCCTCAGTTCCCATATGTTTGCAGATTATTGTTGAAACACGAGGGGATGCTAGACAGTGGTAAACATGGTCCTGTCCCAACTTTCTTTCTTTCCTTTTATTTTATTTTTTTAAAGATGTGTTGCTACCATCAAATTCAAATTGAGCTAATATTGTTTTGTGGAACAGTAAAATGCCTCAGTTTGAACATTTGATGTTTTCTGTGTTTCACTGTGTGTGTTTATGAGATTTACAAATAACTCTCATTGCATTCTGTACGATTTACATTTTAATGTAAACTTGCATTGAAATTGGGGCGTTAAAACAAGAAATGTGACTGTTGTTGATACAGGAAAAAAATATGCCAGAGAGCTAAACTTGTATTTACTAAAGTTATCACTAGCTGCGTGTGGCTTCCTGTATCCTGTGCGATCTTTACCTGCTGTTAATTTCTGCAGTAATGAGGATACGCACCTTTGTATTCGAGCACAGAAGGCCCGAACAGATTTCTGATCTGTTATTATTTTACCTGCCTATGCTGTGAACTCTTTTCTTTCCCCCTGCTGCTTCACTGTCTTTGTTGTAATGTTATTGCCCCTTTTTAGATGTCTCGAATAATCCAGGTTTATGATGAGGAGAAACAGATTAATACACAGGTAAGCCGTTTCAAATGGAGTGCAGATCTCCTGCCCCCTCCCACTGAGGCTCCAAGAAAAGTTGTACCCCTTTATTAAAGAGAAGAGAATTTCCTTAGATGATGTATGAAGATTAAAGTGTCATTTTGACTGCGCACTGTTAAGAAAAGTATGTCAGATGAGAGGGTGTTTGGAGAATCAAAATAAATCTGTTTAAAAGTGTTTCTGTTTGATTGTGTTGATGGCTTCAAGTCTGTTTATTTTTATCGTGTAAGCCATAGAGCATCCAGTGCCTATCTACTACTTTTTAATTGTTTGTTTTGTTTATTTGTTTGTTTGTTTGGAAAGGGTGGAGGTTGTTACATTTTGGCTTTTTTGTTTCTATTTGACATGCACGTGTGTGCTTTGTGCATATAGTGAGCATCTGAGGATTTCAACAACCTTTAAATATTCAGATACTATATTTGACCCTACTGGCTGATTAGATCACTAAAATTTTGCAACTTCCATTTATTGTGGAAATACTTCAGGGAGCCACAGTGGGACAGGGAGGCAGGAAATCCCTGCTCTGTACATCAAGGTTGAGCCGGGGTTACCCCGCCATCAGGAGTCTTAACCAGATCTAATTTGTCTCCTCATTCTCCTCTTCCTCTTCCCGCTTCAACCTATTCATTCTTTCTGCCCAATGGCATTCTCACGCAATCTTCCTTCATGTCACTCCTTTTCCCACCTCCTCCTCTTCCTCCTCTGACAGGTGGGATCAGAGATGGCGATATCCGGCAAGGCAGTGAGCCTGTACTTTGAGGAGAAGTTGCAGGAGATCTTCCCAGGCCAAAGCTTTCCTGAAACAGCTGAACCCGAATCTCCGCAAGAAAAAGAAAAGGAGGACGACAATACAGACGACTCCGAGGATGATTTCATACAGCCCCGACGCAAACGGTTGAAAACGGATGAGAAAGTGGTCCACATCAAGTGAGACCCTCATCACGAAGGAAATGAGAGAAGTGAAAAACTGCCTTCCTCATATCCCACACTTCTCTTTGGAGAAAGGAAACACAAAAAACAGATGAGAGATTCTGTAAAAGAAGCTTGGTTTATTTCATCCTTGGCTTTTGAAAGAATTACTCTCAACTACACTAGACATCTGCTTTTCTGAGAACTCTTTACGGACTGAAAGATGGAAGAGCTGCATTCCCTTATTATTTCATGGACATTCAGATTCGCTTGGAAAGATTTTGAAGTAGAACTTGTTTTGCAGTAGTTAGGAAAAGGTTGTTTCTTTTCTATCATCCGTTTTTCATATGTAGATTTGTTGTGACAATTGCTTTATAAAAACAAAGAAATCCCCTGTTCTGTTTAATGTATTAAATATATACTTTGACAAGAAGCCTACCAAGTATTTGTATGACTTTGTGGAAACGTTGTGTAAATAAGAGAATCTAGCCCACTGAAGGTGTTCCTGCCGTATTAATGTTTGGGTGCGTCATCAATAAAACCTGTTCTTGAAATATAACAAAGAGAATGTGTTGTGTGGAATAGGTTTGAGGTTATCAGAGTTTGCTGTATTGTCATTATGATGACGGATAATTCTAGTTTAGACCTGTTACGGGTTGGATTTCAGGATATTTCTTTGTCCAGAATGGTGCCGCTCACAGCAGTTGCGGCTACATTTCTTTATAGAAAGCCTCCAGTCCAGTTATACACCTGTCACAAGGAAAGCACAAAAAGCCTGATGTTTACCGGCATCAATAGCGACTATACAGACAATATCTGATACATTTGTAACATCAGCTGTCAATAATTTACTCTGGCACATCATCAGGCTTACTAAAGCTGCAGGCTCATTAACTAAGGAGTGAGTAACTATTCTATTAACCTACAACCTTCATCATTCCAGGTCTACATTAAAGTATCTGAAAGGCATTAAACAGATTTCAGTCAGTAAAAAGGAATCATTTCCTCTTAGATTCCTTTGAGCTGATGCACTGTTTCTTTAGAGGAAGTCCGACACCGACCTCAGCGTTTCTTCGTGTTGTAATGACTCTGACACATAAAACTTGAGCGTCTGCTCACGGCGTAAACTGGTCTCCGAGGACCACGTGACATCGGAAACTTAGGAAGCCTGTTAATAAAAGCCACGCGAGCTGACAACAGAGACTTTAGATGCTGAGTCGCCAATCTGACAGTCAGCTGACGCTATCGTGGAGTGTTTAAAAAAAA